GTAGAGCTAAGAGCCAGTAGCTGACTGTTTTTGCTTTTCTTACCTTCAAGTTGAACCCTAATATCTGTCTCTGGGTTTTTATTAATCGTGCTACAATCAATCATCAATCAATCAATAACAATGCCAGTCTCAATAATCAAAAGTAACCCAAAACTTGCACTGTCTGAATTAAAATGCTTCAAAGCAAGGACAACTGCAGTCCCCTTGCCCAGGCTCCACACAGCGGGGCCAGCCCCAGGCTCTCTGGTACTCAGGCTTGCTTGTAGCCTTGACTTGACCTGGACCTCACTACTCCCTTAAGGTGAAGTTCCCGCCTTCTTGTTCCCATGGCCTCTCCCTGCCACCACCTATTCCCCTTGCCCTTCTGGAAGTCCCAAGCCCACAGCCTAACTCATGAGACGGGTCATGACAGCAGTCATAGGGCCACCTGAGCAAGCTTTAGACACTAGCCAGTGTGGTCATCCAGGAGGAGACTGGGCCAGTGGGACTTAAGTCCTTTAACTTGGATGACAGGCAGGAAGTCAGAAAGCAGAGGCATCAACAAAGAGAGGAAATCCTGTCGGCTTCCAAGATATAACCACAGCTACTGCAGGCCATGAGGCTGTCCTGCCGCTGGGACTCAGTTTCCTCACCTGAACTTTCCAACCTGCTTCTTTAAACAGCTCCTGTCTGCTGGGTGCTGCATAACAACCATCCTTTCCAAAATAGGAGTCTGGGGGTTGGTTGGTTGGTTTTTACAGGTAGACTGTGTGAGAGTGTGGGAATGGGTGTGTTTATGGCCTGTGTGGAGGTCAGGACTTAGTTTTGGAACTCTGCTGGAAGACCAGGTTGACCTTGAACTCACAGAGTTACCCAGCCTTACCTACGCGTGCGTGCGCCCATAGGAGAAAACCAATTCTAGGAGAGAATCAATACTTGCATTCCTGCGGGCCAGGTTCTGGTTTGCTCCAGAAGTAACTGCCTGCAACTCCCATCCCCTAAAATCCAACAAATACATGGTATATAGACACATATGCAGGCAGAACACTCACACACATAAAATAAAAACAAAGGTTAGAAAATATTTTTTAAAAAAGAAAGAAAAGGAAAGGAAATGAAGGAAGGAAAGGAGAAAAGGCGGGAGGGAAAGAGAGAGAAAGAGAGGGTAGGAGGGAGGGAAGGAGGGAGGGAGGAAGGAAAGAATGGAGGGAGGGAGGGTGTGAAGGAGACGGGGAGGAAGGGAAAAGAAAATCAATATTATTAGAAGCAGGCAAGGCTGGGTGGTTGTGTCCTCAAAGCACAGGGGCTCAAGGAGCTGTGCAGGCCACTGGGTGTTACACAGGAAAGGCCACTTCAAGAGCTCTGGGGACAGTGGGGCTAGAGTGAGCTCAGCACTACCCAACTTGTTCTCAGGCAAAGAGGGAACTGAAAGTGGTCACTCGAACCTGACCCGGGGGTGCGTTCTCCCACACCCTCTAAAGACTCTCTACTCCTCCTGCAGGCACTTAGCAGTGAGGTCTTCCCCTTGTCCTCAGGCAGTCTCTTCTCAGGTTAGATGCCCTGGGTGCGACCTTACTGCTGTCTTTGGCCTGGATCAGCCTATGGTATCTGCCCCTAGGGAGCTTTCCAAGGATTCAAAAGCAGAGATTTTGCTGAAGTCCTTCCCTAAACCTGGGCCAACCCCCGAGGCAGCTACAAAATCCTGTGGCCCTTTTCCCGCCTGAGTCTGCCTGAGGCGACCAGGTCAGCTCCACAGGGTGACAGTCAATGAGTTTTCCAGTCTCGGTCACTCTTGCCACTGTCCATGGCCAAAACGACCCTGAGAACAGCATCTCGGTGCCACATAAACAGATCAGTACGGGTTCAAACTCCGGCACTGCTAGTGCCTCTACCCCTCTGAGCCTCCATTTCCCCCACCTAGAAATAGGGCAGGATGGGGTGACCAGCTACTCTGCAGGGCATTGTGAGAAGTCAACGGGTGTCTGTAAAGAGCCTGGCACCATGCCTGGCAGAGTACAGTAGCAGGCACCATCTCAACAAGCTGCTTACAACCTTCTGTCTTCTCGGCTACCACATAAAACCCTAAGTCAGGAGCAGGATGCTGGTAAGCCCCCACAGTGCAGCCTGGTGCCCACCGTCCTCTCTGACGGTCTGACCCCTCAGATGCTTCCTCCTCTGGGAACCCTTGCCGACATGACCAACCAGGAAGCTCTTCCTTCCTGTCCTTCAGGCACCATCTTCTGCTGATCACCCTATCACACCCGGCTCCACAACCATCCCACCTCTGATCCTCGTCAAAACCCAGCAAGTACCCTGCCACCCTGGCCACAGAAATTTTCCATATGAATTTGAAAAATTACCCAATTTCCCATCTCAAGCAAAGAATGTCCTCCAAATAGCCCTGTTATTTCAAGCCATACTCAAATTCCAACCTAGAAGTCTGCACAAGCCCTAGTGATTTCTAAGTCTGGCTCTGGTTCTAAAGTACAGACACATGGGCCCAGAGCACAGGCAAAACGGGTCCCTAAGGCCAGGAAAGAGAGCTATGGACTGCTGAGACCATCTCTCACATTTTCTGTTGGCTCCTGTGCTGCTACTTCCGGTCCACGTCTCTCAGCCTGAAGACTCCCCCTTGCACACCCCATGTGATGGAAGGCTCTCCCTCTTCTTCCTTCTTCTCTCAGTCTGAAGACTCACCCTGCACACCCCTTGCACACACCCCTGTGACAGAAGCCTCTCCCTCTCTATCTTTCTCCCTGACTTTCTTCCTTTACCTGTTGACTTTCCCAGAGGCCTCTCTGCTCCGAGCGACTCTGACCACACAAGGGACAGCCTCCAGCCCCCAGGACCCTTTCCAGGTCTTTCAGCCCTCTACTTAATCTCCCGCCTTTCAGAGCTAAGTGGTGGAATTTCCACTCTTGTTCCTACAAGTTGATAGTGATGTCAGCTGGGGAGAGCTGTCTATTCCCAGGGCCCAGGGAAAGCCTACAAATCCTTGGGAATCCCACACTCTGAGCTGGAGGGTCTTGGAGCGGCTGGAGCCCTGTGCACAAACCTCCCTCCCCCAGGAACCCACCACACCCACCACACCAGCCCTCGGTCCAATGTTTTAAGATGTCATTAATTAGCAATTTGTATTCCATCTCTTAAGTAATTGCTCAAAACCTCCAATCAGAGCTTGACTGGTAATCATGTCCCTCCCCACCCTACCCGCACACACCACCAAAGACTGGGCCCACCTAACACTTGAAAACCCAGTGAGGATCTGAGCCACTCTTCACAGTTACTAGGGGAAGTCTTTCCTCCGGGACTACGAGGTACCAGTACTGGGCTAGCTGGACTCTAGAACAAAGACCAGCATCTCTGTGAGGATTCTGCAATCTTGCTGGCTCCAAGTTCACCCTCCATACTAGCTCCAAGGACCTTTAAGGCTAAGGTATCAAAGCCTCCCTTAGTTTGGCCATGAAGCCTAAAACATTTGGGACATCAATCCTTGGCCTTAGATCCCTGATCTGCCCAAGGGTTCAACTCTTGAGCCCAACCTCCTACCCCCTGTTGATCTCAAAGTGACAGTTCTAAAGGGAGATAAAAGCCTCTGCAGGTCTCCTGGGTGCTGGGGAAGTCTGTTGACAAAGCCACCAGCTGTCCCCAGTTGGAGCCAGGGAGTCAGACTCCTCCCTGAACCACCACCCACACTGGGAGAGCGTTCCTCCCAGGACCCAGCCAGCAACGGAACTTGGACCATCATGAAGCTCTCTCTGATCACAGGCTCCAACCGACCTCCCCTCCAGCTCCAGCTGCTACACTAACAAGAGCAAGGGCACAAGACCTCACCCAGGCAAGTGCCAGGTAGAAGGGCACCTCACCTGGGGAAGGGCGATGGGGTAGAGAGGCAGTTCACATGATTCCACTGAAAATGAAACCATAAACCCAGTCATACCAACAGGCTTAGTAGGGATCTGTAGTTCATATGTAGGACTGAGAGAAGGGGCAAATCCCGCTCCCACTTCCTACTCTCCTGACATTTTCCATTCGATGCCTCAGTTTCCCCTCTATAACATCTGCCTAACAGTCATGTAGAAGAATTTTGTGAACGACACCGTGTAAAGGAGTGAACTAGCCTAGTGCCTGGCACACAGCAATATGCACCGAACACTTGTTGAATATAAGCATGCCAACATTTTCCGAGATTCCCACACCCTGGCTTCATCCCCCACTCTGACAGATACACCCATTTTACAGGTGAGGAAACAGAGGCTTAAAAAGGGAAAGAATCTGCTCAAGGTCACACAGCTGGGAAGTGACGAACACCCAGATCTGTCTAACCCTCAGTCCAGAGGGTAATATTGCCCCAGAATGTCCCCCAAGCTCTTCTAGGGGCGGGAGGGAGGACCAGTAGAGGGATGTAGGGTCTGTGGGGATCCTGGCACATAAAAGCCAGGTGATGGATGAGTCCTCAGATTCCTGGCAGCTCCCAGACCCCCGCGTCCTACAGGCGTCCCTTCTTCGTGCTGGTCAAATGCTAGAGTCCTAGCTCCGGGGGAAACTGAGGGAGGAGGGGAGTTAGGGACCAGGCCGCTCAGGGCCGGGAGAAAACCGGTCCGGCCGCCTCCCCACCCCCCCACCCCGGCCTCTAGCCCCCTCCCATGCCAGACAAAAGTTTCCCCTGTTCGGGAGCCGCGGAGGGGGAGGGGGCATTCCTCGTGGGTGACATTATCCGTGACCTACAGCTGCCGCGCTGCCCGGTCCGCACCCCGGCCCGCCCGGCCCCGCGAGGCCCCCACCCCTTTGTCCTCCCCACCGCCCGCCCGGCGCCCGCGCGCACCAAACTTGCACCGGGGCCGCTCGGGCCCCAGCGCGGCCTGCACGCCGTGCCCGGCTGGCAAACGCTCGGCCCGGGAAGTCGGGCCGCCCGGCCCTCCGGCTCCTTACCTGCCTCGGCCGGGGCGCCACGGGGAAGCGGCGCGGGTGGCCGCGCGGCCGCCGGTCCCGGGCGTGCGCGAGGCGGGCTGCGGGCCGGCTTAACCCCTTGCTGGCCGCGCTGCGCCCGCGCCCGCACACCCGCCCGTGGGGAGCGCGCACAGGGCCGCCGGGCCGCCCGCCTCCCTCGACCCGCGCCTACCTCCCCCGCCTGGCCGTGCGCGGGGCTCGATCTGGTGGCGCGGGGCGCGCACGCTGCGGGGGCCCGGCAGGCGCCGGGGCGGGACCGGGCGCCGCGAGCTGCGAGCCGGGCTGGATTTCTCGCTTCCACCCGGATTCTCCCTCGGCTCTCCCGGCCGATTCGGTGCTGCTCGGCGACCACGTGACTCGGGCTGCCTTTGACCCCGGTCTCGGAGCGGGTAGGGGGCGGGGGCCCGGGCCCGAGGGGTGTCAGACGCGGGACCCGCGAGGGCGGTGCGCCCCGGCCAGTGTCCCGGAGGCGATGACCCCGAGCAAACAAAGCCCTGGGGAAACCAACAAGTTATTTGGAGTCAGAGAGGGACTGGCGCTGGGGGTCGGAGAGGCGGCTGAGGGAAGGAGGGGGGCACAAAGACATGTTCTCGCCGCGACTTACAGGCCTGGAATCGCTGGCTGGGCCCCGGGGCTGTGAGTTCTGCCCCGCTGGCCTGTGACAACCCTCCAGGGTTCCTCAGACAACAGGTACCTGTCAATGTGACCCCTCCAGCCCTCCAGGGCAGGACTTCACACCCACACCCACACTCCCCGTGCTCTGCTCCTGAAACATACTTGTATTCCCTTTACCGGGGAGGATCTGATTCACGTACTGATTTCATTGTTTACTAGGATGTCATCTCTCTCAACAAGTTGTTCCCAGCTTAATCAGTGCTCTCTGTGGCACATAGCAGACAGACAAAGAGGTATACCGTCTTGTGCAAAAGTTTCTCCCACCTGGCCTGTTCTCCATCCTCAGCAATCCCACCTGTCTCAAAGACCGTGCAAACTGGACGAAGTTCCTCCCATTAAGCAGACGGAAACTGAGTCTCCTGTAGGGTGCTGAGAGTCCTTAATAGCTGGTGCTAGAATTTATTCTCAGCCCAGGGAGATCTGCCATTCCTCAGCCAACCAGTAAACCTACAAGGGATAGGGAGGTGGGGTCCGGTGGAAGAATAGGTATTGACAGCCTTTGAAAGGTCCATGCAGGGAGCCGGGTGGTGGGTTTCTGTGAGTTTGAGACCAGCCTGATGTACAGAACGAGTTCCAGAACAGGCTCCAAAGCTACACAGAGAAACCCAGTCTCGATAAACAAAAGGAACAAAACAAAACAAAACAAAAAAAAACGGTCCTTACACATTACAGATTACCAGGCAGACAGACTGAGGCCACTGCAAACACGGGAAACATCCTGGACTCTCAAGCACCATCAGAGGCTCAGGATTAACTGTAGGAACAGAATTGGTAAAAGAAAAAAACAAAAAACAAAAACCATGCGAGCAATCAGAGCAGAAAGGAGAGTTCAAAGAAGGCAGCTGGCACTGGGAAGCAGAACAGGCCCACAGGATCTCCCCAGTGGGATCAGGTGTCCTTGTTGGTCAGCCTGCTGTGTCTCCCAGAAGAGCAGGGATACTGAGGCCTAAACACAGATGCTGGTGTGTGAGCTGAGAAGCTACCAGGCTTCTGCTTCCTATATGTGCCCATGTTACACCTCTGGAAGGAGCGGAGCCACAGGCCACAACTGCAGGCTACATGTGGACAGGATGTGACTTCCAAGCACATACTGCAGCCACCGCCAGTTTGGCTGGGGAAAACAGCATAGACCAGCAAATTCTTAACAATTTGAGTTTCCACACCGGGCAGTGTAAAGTCCTTGAAAAATGGGCTGAGGCTTGAGCAGGTCAAGCCCCTGGAAGGCAGTTCAAAAGGTCCATTCCGTCAGGATGCAGCCCCGTGAACCTGATCTGTATTCTAGACACCGTGTGGGAGGGGCAGAGCTGGGAGTTCATGCTCAAGCTATGAGCTGAGAATGTAGCTCAATTGGTAGAGTGCTTGCCTGGCATGCAGGATGCCCTGGGTTCAATCCCAGCACTGTATACATGGTACATGCCTATAATTCCATACAGGAGGTTGAGGCAATAGGAACAAGGTGTTCAAAGAGTTCAAATGGGCATGAGCCTCCCCCCCCCCCGCCCCTTTGTTCTGGCCACAGTGAGCCTGGAGGGAGGTAAGGTCCAAGTGCTCTGGCTCTCATGATGGAAGGAGCAAGGAAGGGAAGGGCTCCAGGGAGTCAGCCTCTCAGAGAGCTGGATCAGAGGAGCAGCTAGAGTGGGTTTGGGAAAGGAAGATAGACTTTTCTGGTACAAGGAACAATCCACCAGGACCACGTGGAAGTGGTTCTGGAAAAGCTGCGTGGAGCATGGCAGAGGAAGCAGGAAGGGAAGGCTGAGTCAGAAGAGACTGAAGGGTGTCAGGCGCTGAGTGCAGCCTCGGGAGCAGCTGGCTCCAGCCTGGACTGAACCTAAAATCCTGAGGGCCTGCTGGAGAGAGAAACGTCTTCTCGTGGGAGAAGAGATGACGGGGAGCCAGCCAGGTCAACAGCATGTTGAAAGCAGGCTTGGAGGGTTAGCTCATAAGTTAGGTAACCCCATGTCTCTGACGACATTTCCTACCTCCGAGTCTTCAAAACTTCATAAGCTTCATAAGCTGGACCTTCCAGCTTGCTGGATGTCCTGTGAGGATGTGTGTGGTGGGGAGGCCCAGCCAGGATGGAGATGGGCTGGAAGACTTACATTCTTTTACTCCTCCCTCCCCTCCTGACCCAGGCCCCTTCCTGAGGCCCAGTGACCCTCATCTGGGGCTTGAGACTTCCTTGCTGTCCCATCACCTCATCTCCATTTTAGCAAGGCAGAGGCCGAACTCATCACTCCTCATCAGGCCCACATCCAATCTCTCTGCCCGCCCCACATGTCATTCCATTGCTCCTGCTTCCAAGCTGGGTTTTTTTTCTCTCTCTTTCCCAACTCCTTTTCTCCTTCATGGGTGCTACCTGATGCATAGCCTTCTTAGCTTGTGCTTAATACAAGTACAGAGTCATGCATCTCAGCTTGCTTTTTGGGGGGAGCAGGGGAGAGGCTGGTTTCGAGACAGGGTTTTGCTGTGTAACAGCACTGGCTGCCCTGGAACTCACCAGGCTGGCTTCGAACTCACAGAGATCCACATGCATCTGCTTCCCAGGTGCTGGGATTGCCGCCAACACCACCACACAGCCCCTCTCTTCTTTGTTTGTTTGTTTTCAGAGACAAGGTTTCTCTATATAACAGCCCTAGCTATCCTGGAGCTTGCTCTGTAGATTAGACTGGCCTCAAACTCACTGAGATCCGCCTGCCTCTGCCTCCTGAGTGCTGGAATCAAAGGTATGTGCCACCACCACCCAGCCCCTCTCAGCTTTTAATGAAACTTCATCAAGCCCATTTCCTATTGAAAGCCTCCAGCAGCTTGTTTCCCACCCTCCTAGGATCTTTCCTGATGTCTGTCCGTTATCTGGTGGTCCTTAGCGGGCAGAACTTCGCCTTCCACTTTGCCTGTCCGTTTATTTATTTTGAGACAAAGTCTCACTGCTGTAGCCCTGGATGGCCTGGAATGTGCTCTCTAGATCAGGCAGCTCTGTGCCTCCGGAATGCTTGGATCAAAGGCAGGAGCCGGAAACCTAGCCTCAGGCTGCTGATTTTTTGCTAAAAGAATGTACCAAAGTCATTCTTTCTGGGCTCTGGCCACATCTAAACTATGTGACCATGGTCATCATTTTCTCAACCTGTCTGTGCTATTATCTCTGCAGTGTGGGCAATAATTGTGTGTGCTGCTGAGAGCTCTGTGGGAATTAGACATGTGGAGCCCTTCATGCAGTATCTGCCATATGATAAGCACTATATATGTGTTAACTAAATGATGGCGATCCTTGTTTCTTGTTTTTTCTCTGTAGCCCTGTCTGTCCTGGAACTCGCTCTGTAGACCAGGCTGACCTTGAGCTCAAACACCCTCCTGCCTCTGCCTCTGGAGTGTTGGGATTAAAGGCATACACTACCACTGCCCAGCTATGACAGCATCCTTTAGGCCTCAAGGTTAAAGTTTATTTTCTCTTGGGTTTTTCCTGACCTCCTGACACAGCCCAAACCTTCTGGTGTATACTTCCCATTCCCTTCCCCACTATCCTCCTGGTGCCTGCCAGCTGCCCAACTCTCTTCTCTAGTCCAAGGTCATTGGAGGTCTTTGCCTCGAACCCTGTGCCCTGCATATTACTGGGCACATAGTAAGTATCTTTGTCTACTGACAAAGTGCCCACCGCCTGGCACTCCATTCCTTCATTCATCTATGGGTGCTGCCTCTAGAGTTTTCCTCACACAGTCCTGGCAGGGGAGGAAGGATGAGCAAGAGAGGTAAGGCCTCTGGGCAGTATACAGTGTTAGCTTCTGCAGAGAGAGGCATGTAAGCACAAAGGAAGATGCAATACGCTGTCTGCGTGTTTTCGCAGTCTGTGGCGAGGATGGGTCCTTGAGATGATGTAAATGAAACAAACTCGCATAAACAAGCAAAGACCTTGGCCTTTTCAGCCAGCTTCCCAGTTCCTAAGCTGGACTTCTTTATTTATTTATTTTTTTTTTTTGGAGTTTCATTTTATTTTATTATTGATTTTTGTTGAGCTTTACATTTTTCTCTGCTCCCTTGCCTGACTCTCCCCTGCCCCCTTCACTTCTCCCCTAAGGTCCCCATGCTCCCAATTTACTCAGGAGACCTTATCTTTTTCTACTTTTTACTTCCCATGTAGAATAGATTTATGTAAGTCTCTCTTAGTGTCTGCATTGTTGTCTGAGTTCCCTGGGATTGTGGTTAGTAGGCTGGTAGCTGGACTTCTTTAAAGCAGAAGAGTGGGTCCTATCCAGAGTAGACCGACCACTCTTCTTGCTGTCTGCAAACCTCCTATTCAGCCGTCAAAACCTACTGTCCACAGCACCCCATCCAGGAAACCTCGCTCTGCATAGAGGTCTGTTCAGGCCCTGATCACAGTTTTAATGATTTCCTATGAAGATAGTGGGATTTGCCAAGGATAATCCAAATTTCATGTCATTTGCTTTTTAAAAAGAAATTTAAGGTGATTTGATGAATGTATAACTACATGTGATTTCATGTCTGTACAGCAGTGGAGGCAGAAAATAGCCTGTGTTGGACCATGTGACCTGAACTGTGGTTTGGAGAACATGTGGTCACCATAATTACAGCATTGACCACATGGTGTAACAGTTTCCCCTACCCCCCACCCGACGGGTGGTGGGGAAGGGAGGCAGGTTGTTCAGTGACAGGGACTAGAAAACTTGGTACCTGCTAAGCAAATGGAAAACAGATATAAAATAAACGTTTTGGGAACTGAAGTTTGTTTTGAGATGGAAGATGAGTGGGAGGGAGGGGATGAAAACAAGAGCAGCATCCTGCAAGCAAGAAAACGTGGCTTCTGCAA